TTATGATTACTTTCGATCACTACGTCATAAACATATATGGTTAATCGTCAAATAAAGAGATATGATTGACAATCACTTTCGATCACTACGTCATAAACATAAATGATTGATCCTCAGGTAGATAAAGAGATCTGATTTATGATTACTTCCGATCACTACGTCATAAACATTTATGGTTAATCGTCAAATAAAGAGATATGATTGACAATCACTTTCGATCACTACGTCATAAAAATATATGGTTAATCGTCAAATAAAGAGATATGATTGACAATCACTACGTCATACACATTAATGATTGATTATCAGATAAAGAGATCTGATTTATGATTACTTCCGATCACTACGTCATAAACATTTATGGTTAATCGTCAAATAAAGAGATATGATTGACAATCACTTTCGATCACTACGTCATAAAAATATATGGTTAATCGTCAAATAAAGAGATATGATTGACAATCACTACGTCATACACATTAATGATTGATTATCAGATAAAGAGATCTTATTTATGATCATTTTCAGGATCTGATTTATGAGCACGTTATAAGCATATATGGTTGATCATCGAGTAAAGAGATATGATTAATAATCATTCACAAGAAATACCAATTTTAGAACCACTTTTACTTTTGAACGTAAATGATTCATCATCATATCAGAGAAAGAACTGTATATCACGTAATAACCAAACATTCTTTATTTCAAATGATTCTTTCTAAGATGCACGATTGATCATAGTTCCCAAGAAAGCCGTCAGTAGCACTTGAACATCCCTAGGTCATGAAAGTTTAAAGAACGTTGATAGGAACGCCACGATATGTTAACATTTAGTACAAAAAGGTATAAATGGTTTAAATGAAAAGTATTCCAAAATGATACTGGAATAAAATAAATTTGGTTTGCAATGATACGTGTTTGAAAAACAAACAAAATACTTGAAGAAACTGATCGTTATCATTTGAAATATAGCTCCTCCGCAACAAAATGAAACATGAGATGTGTTCCAATTATGCTAGCAAGTTAAGTATCATATAACAGCACCAGTGGCGAATCTAGCCTTAAAAATCTAGGAGGGGGGCTAGCCGGGTGCCAAACACTCAGTTATGGGGGTCAATGCTAGCCATTACTTTGCGGACTAGTAGAATGTAAAGCAGTAACGTAATGGCTCAAAATTAGATAGAAGGCACCGATTTTTAGCGCCCCCAAGATAGTATGTCCTTGGTACAGCTCTATCAGGGCTCTTATCATTATGCCAAATAGTTTATTAGTGGCGTAACGAGCAACTGCACCCCCTAGGAAAAATAACGAAGAAAAATTGTTGCTGGGGGGCCATAAAGGTGCGTGCTATTTAACAAAAAATTAACTTTGGGCCGTTACTTCACTGAGTAATATCTGTTTAACAATATTGCATCATGAACATCAGAACCTCAACAGAAGAACAATACTTCTAGAAATAAAAGGCTAATAGCTTTGTAAAGTTGATTGGTAAAATTTTACCATAGAAGTTATGTCTAAAATCCAACCTCCATGAGATCAAGCAAATCATTCTGTTACACAGAATTTCAAATTATAGAATTTCGATAAGCAATAGTAGATTGCCAAGGTATACTGGGATGGTACTGGTATTTCCCTGCGCTGGGTTCCAGAGCGAAAAGGATTTTCAATGGGATGCGGAGAATCTTGGTTTGGGCTTACCCTGCGCACCCCACCCCAAGAAGGTGATCAAGGAATTTTGTTTTCCTAGAATGACTAACTCTGTTCAGATCTATAAACAGTTCAGCTCATTGAACTTCATTAATGTCAAGTTGAAGTCAAAACAAATTTTTAAATGGTAACTTCTTGAGTGTGCAGTTTACTGAGAATGAATGCAAACTGCATAAGTGTTCTGTTGCCATATACAGTGATGTTCAATGTCAAGACTGTTTCGAGTATCAACTCGAAAAATTAAAACTCCAAATCATAAAAGTTTCTTAGCTTTTTTCAACTTGGGTAGGGTTGTTTCTTAACTTTCGAAAAATTGTCTACCGTTTCTTAAAACCTGTTTCTTATAAAAAACGAGTGTATTTGGCAAAATAAACATAACTTAATGTGCGTTGAAAATATCTGAAAATATCTGAAAATAAATTTTTCCTTGAATATCAATGAGTCCGATTTCACAGGAATTGAAAGTGTTAGCCAAAAAAATATCTTAGCACGCATAATCGAGGATAAAAATCACATCTTAGGTTTATATCTTGAGAAAAAATTTTACATTATGAATTTATAGAATAATGGAGTAGGAGCAACATGTCACTCCACGAAAAATAGTACGCCTTCGCCTTTGACAAAAATTATTTTTTTTCTAGAGAAATCCCTTGAAAATCCCTAAAAATCCAAATGTTCTAAAAAGTTCTGTACGCTGTTTTTTCACAGATAAAGTTAGTATACCTGACAGAGTATTACGCATTTAAAGCAGTTCTGAAACGTGATTTTGCGTTATGTCGTGAAAAGGCTTTAACTATCCGTTAATTCGTGAATGAAATTTTGAATGATAATTCAAAAAATTGCCTCAATTTGGTGCGCAATAAACCAATAATAGTTAAATCTCAAATTAGTATAATTGTGGTTGAAGATAGTGTTGTAGTCTTCAAACAGGGCTCTGATGAGAAATAACTGATAATACATTTATTGTTTGCGTGAGCGTGAAAATCCAATTTTGAAGTGCGTGAATGCGTGGAAAGTCAAAAAATTGTGCGTGAATGCGTGAATTAAAACCGCTATGAGGGGGCCACTTCTTATAAAGTGTGTCTTATAAAAAAGAGTGTACATTATGTAATGCTTGTGAATGTTTGATATTTAGGCCCGTGGCTTGCTTGCTAACCACACTGTGTATTAATAAATTAACAATGTTTCAAAACAGGGGTTTGAATCATTGAATGAAATTGTTCTGAGTAGACTCCTGTGAACTGCGCTACCAAAATTTAAAACCTGCAAAATTGGATAGTAGTGGCTCAAAGGCTGGCAATACTTGGAGTCCCGATTCAGGGAGATCTCTTTTCAACCATTTTAAGATGCTCAGACCATGGTGATAAAGCCTGTATCTTCATGTTTACTCGAACTTTGTGATATGATTATAAAATAAATTCGCTTTTCTTGCAGAGATTTTCGAATCAGACTTCGTAAAGATCCGAGCACAACCTCATGAAGGTCATATTACGGAAATTGGTAACTTCAGATTGGCACAAAAATCTGGCTGGATAACAAATAGATCCTAAAAAATCTATCAAAACCTAAGCAACTTTCAAATTTTGAAGACAGCTGCACGACAACGGAGATTGAAAATACACGCAATGCAATCATGAATGATTCAAGAAAGTTCGAGGTAACGATACATGTTTGCTTTCTTGTACTGAACGTTTTCGGCAATAGCTTAGTCATCTACCTCTATTTTGTCGATAGAGCATTACGACACAAACAAGCGAATCGATTCGTAATTTCGCTTGCATTTTGTGATCTGTTAGTTGCCGTCATCTACATCCCACACCAAATTTTCCAAACGGCAATTCAGAAAGCTGTGCCAGTTCCTATTTCCGGTTACGTTACATCAATTGCGGCACTTGGCTCCTTGTGGAACCTCGCAGCTTTGACTTACGATCGATACGTCGCCGTTTTCGATTGTTTACGTTACGAGCAGGTGATGAGGCCGAAAAAAGTAACGAAATTCATGACAGCTATTTGGATATCTGACTTTTTTATAACGCTGTTGCCTTTATCGTGGAAATTTCTCGTTTCACCTGCAACAAATGATCTTTTATTGCACTGCTATCAGTTTATTCTGGTGACGATCATGATTGCCGTGCATGTCGTCCTCTTTGCAGTCTATGTTAGGCTTTTCATCACTAATCGACATCACCTGAGCTTCCTCCATGACAGATCACAAATGTTTACCGTGGGAAAACAAGAGGACAGAAAACTGAAGGGTAAATCTATGCTTGTTCAATCCTGCCCAAGAGGATCAACTGTAGCAAAACGCGTAAAAAAAGGCGTTCAACTACAATGTCGAGTAATCAAGCCAAAATCTCAGCGAAACGTGATACTGTTATTTTGCAGAACATCTCGACAGTACCAAGCATGTCTGACCTATCCAATAACTGGGAAACAAGCTTATGTGAAAGCATTGCCATATCGTGTGCAGGTGATCACTTGATGTCATCTACTGAAAACGCAGGCATAAGAGAAAGTACGCGTGGCTCTAATGTATCCAATATTAGAACAGCTTTTCGGCTGAAAGCTGGCAAGGCTTTAGAAAAGATGTCTCATTCACGTGCTGTTAGCGTGGAGCTGCGTGCCGCTAGGGTGGTGCTTATTCTATTCATCTTCAATACTGTGTGCTGGATACCCACTGTGACACTTAACGTTGTATACTTAATTTCGTGGCTCAGAAAAAGTCCAGTAATTCCTTCAACGTTATTTTGCATTTCAAAATACTGCTTCTTGTCGTATAGCACAATTAATCCGTGGATATACGGCATCTTGAAGGGTGATTTTAAAAAAGTTATGAAAAAGCATATCATACGCAACAACTTTATGATTAAATGGCGTCGCTGGGGTGGATGCTGGAAATCAAACTAAGTTATAACTGTGATAACATCTTGTATTGAACACTAGTGCCTTCGATGAACGGAAAGTATCACCGAGGACTGGGAACAAGGCTCATGAAATGACGTCACGAATCCTGAAAGACCTCAGGGAAGCAATATATTGGCAGCTCGTGGCTACGCCCAAGGATACATTACACAAACTGGCCCAAACAGATTGGGTCTACCTCCGAATAAGCTAATAGTGACCAAGACTAAGATGTGGCTTTCAAAAGATGATAATGTCTCAAATATTGTATCTTGATTTGGTATACTGGAATGTGTTGAGAGAGAAAATTAGTTTGCCATAGGAATGAAATATTTCCCTTCTTTGAGACCAAGCTGCCAACCAGTTATAATCTTAAGAAAGTGTTTTCCAAAATATGGAAGTCCTTTTTCATTACCTTTTTAGATATATGACTCTGCACTTTAGGAAGAAACGTAGAGAAGACCCCTACAAGATGCCTTTCTATGGTTAAAACAACTAAGAGATATTCATCCCATATATCTTCATTATTTCCTTCTCTGACCCAAATCATATCACCTCCTCCTCACCTTTTCCATTTGCTATTTCACAACATAATTGGCAGCTACCATCTAATATCTTTAAGCTGAACTCGAATCTTACCCTCACATTCAGAATATGGATTTTAACCGACTAATGTGTACATATATTATTGAGTGTGAGGGAAAACAGAACTTTTGAGAGGGACCTTGAAGAATGGCCCATACATGTAAACAGAAATAAAAATGTACCGGGTAGAATATAAAAGGCTCGGCGAAGATTGATGAATGTGGCAAGATTCAATATGCAACAACCGTGAAGATCTTTTCAGCAAGGAACTCTGCAAAGATATGATCACCATGAACTACATTTTAAATGACTTTAATAAGGGCACGGTCTAGAACTGTTAGCTTGAAAAAATTGTTGGAGCTATTAACTGTAAATACAAAAAGGGGGAACAACAATGTTGATATAAATTGTTGGAGCTATTAACCGTAAATACGAAGCGGGTAGCAACAGCATTGGTATAAATTGTTGGAGCTATTTACTGTAAATACGAAGCGGGTAGCAACATCATTGATATACTTAATGTAAAGTTCTCCTTTCAAACTTTCTTGTGGATAAAATATTGAAATACAAGCACAAAATGCGTGATTTTTTTGCATCTGCAAGAATCGTCGTTGCTTAGCTGGTTATTCGATAAACAACTCGATGTCGAACAGCACTGCGATAATGCTCATTTGATGAAATCCGTATTCTTTAAGCCAAAGTTTCTGCAGATTTAGGCTTATTTCAACACCAGAGGCAATGTTCCCAAACAAACGAAGAATCGAAAATTATCTCTGTTGTTCAATGTCTCCATGTTTGAATGCCTAGTCGCTTGCGTTCTTCGAAAGTCATTCTTAGGAGGTGGGTAAGCTTCAAGATAGACACGAGAATATTATACAAAAACGGAATGGACAAAGGTACGAGTCTAATACGTCATGGTATAATTAACTGAAAGGTGGAGATGGTGCAAAAAGAAAATATTTTAGCGTATTATCCAATGCTTTTATTGGCTTTTATCTAAAAATCGTGATAGAAAGTTTCTGATACAACTAAAAAAGCTATTAATTTTTTGGTTTTAAGAATTCAACTTGGTACAATCAAGCAATCTTTAGCAGCGATGTTGCATTCATAAAGGAAATTGTTCATTTCGATTCAACTTACCTTCGATTTAGAATCTCACTAAAAAGGAATTTGCAAATGTCTAGTTTGGGGTTTACATAGAACCATTGCAAACAAAAAACAAATAAAGGCAGAAGATGTAGCAGATGGTAGATTGCTTTAAAGGTATCAGAGTATGAGATCATGACTACAATAGGTATTGAGAATGGTTATGTCAGGTAGTTATGTTGGATATGTCAGGTAGAAAATTGCGATAGAAAATGTAAGACATGCTAAGACATAACATAAAACTGGTACCAAAAGAACTGGTGGGACATTATATAAGGAGGGAGCCTCTGCTCTCTTTCTATTTAAGGCTCTCCCCTTCCAAGCGATAGTCACAGGAGTGCGAATGTAAAGCGCACAAGAGTGCAAGCAATTTTTTAATCACGTGACCTATGCGGAGCCGATTTTTTTCAAATCGAGGTTAATACACCTCTTTTCCGAGGCTAATCTATGTACCCTGCCGAAGGGCCACTGGCAAGCCCGCGTAGCGGGCTTCGTAGGGGAGCTAGTCTTCCGTTAATTGAAAGTTGCTTCAAAACATTTGCAAGCCCAGGTCTATTCGTGTTTTTCGTTTAAATATTTCAATGGTTTACCACCTAAGTGAGCCCCCTTGGCAAAAGTCCCCCTCGAATTAGCCCCCTGGGGGCTTATTTATTTTTGATATTTTTGGATTGGGGCTTATTCGAGGGGGGGGGGCCTTATACGAGGGGAGGGGCTTATAAAATTATTCTAGACATTTCTTTATGAGCATTTCATTAATTATTACCAAAGTATGAATTTTTGTGATAATTCAATGAAATGTCAAAGGAAACCTCAGATGGCAAAAATTCTTCAAATTGAGGGGTCAAATTCTAGATTTAACGGCAGCAATGGGGGCTTATTCAAGGACAGCTTCTTGAAACCGAGTTCATTAATACCGAGTATACTCTGCCATGTTACTAGCGTTTGTCCCCGTATCAGTATACAGAAGAGAGCATAAAAATCCAACAGATTGCAGGGAACACAAATCATACCCTATAAGATGCAAGCTGAAAGGCATGCAATTGTAGTTTGACTGTGACGTTGACATTATCAGGCTGCTTTGTCGCATTCTCATGAACAGGAACCCACCGTTTATTGTTTCTAGCTCTAAGCTCTATCCACAACTTTCGAACATTTAACCTTTGAAACAAAGATACAGCAAGAACTGCCATTTCGGTATCTACAGTTCGAATCGTGATATCACGATATCATGCTAGTATTGAATCAAAGTGAATTTGAGATTCGATTTTTCCGCCTGTAAGGGTCTGGGGCAGTGTACCCCACTCTAGAAATTGGAAAAAAAGGAGACACTTTTCAGTTGGGGTCTATATTCTTTCATTTTCAGTGATTCAAATTTCCGCTTTTTGCAAAGTTTCCTGTGATTGTACCTACCTACAAAAGAGATATCTAAATAACATTATTTGTGGAGTCATGAGGCCAAGTACCCCACTCTAGAAATAGAAATAGTGGGAATTTCGAGTCAAAGTCCATATCCTATCTGTTTTAGTGTGTCCTGAAACTGCCTTATATTGCAAAGTTTCATGCTATTGTCAGAGTCCCAAAAAAGTCCTCAACCTTCCTCCCGTCAAATTTTTCCCCGTCAAAACCTTCCTCAAAGCATTGGCATCTCATCGATTATGTCATTGTGCCGGCCAAAGATCAGCAAGATGTGTGACCAAAGCCATGTGTGGTGCTGATTGCTGGACAGACCATCGCCTCATCATCTCAAAGACCAAACCTCTCATACAGCCCTCAAGAAGACCTCAAGGACAGAAGATAGCGAAGCGACTGAGCGTCAACAAGCTGAAAATTCTATCTGCACAGAAAGAATTCTCAGCCACCATGTCGCAACGGCTGTCAGCGATCGCTGGCAACGACTGGGACTCCCTGAAGACAATCAGCCACTCTGTTGCCCTCCAGGTACTCGGCCCGAAAACCAGAAACCATCAGATGAGACTGGTTTGATGAGAATGATGTTGATATTCAGAAATTTCTTGAGGAAAAGCC